GTTTACTTTCTTCCTTCTGTATGAACATGGCAGTGTTTCCTCATTAAAGAAAAAACAGTAAACCAGAAACATTAAAGGAAAAAGAGGCACCCAAGCAATTTCCATCTATTACCTTTGCTATATTCTGACACAAATTAGCACACCATGAAGATATCAAACAGATGTCCCATACACTGGAAAAAAACAGAGATTTATCATGTGATGCCTACAACATTGTACAGAGCTAATAAGTAGATATGTGACCTTCTAAAACCATCCTTCTTATTGTATTATCTCCCACAATTTTAAAGGCACATTTTCATTTTAAGCCTAATTTCTGGGCTAGCATACAGTATGTACCTAGGTACATTCAGATAATAGGATGGATAATAGGACAGATAATAGGTCAGACTTTAAGAAATGCCTTTATATTAAAGCATACAGCCCTTTTATCCAGATTTGTATGGCCTCCCATCTCAGTAAATGGGAACCGCTGTTGTGTATTACAGGTGTTTTTTCCCTTAACACAGGCCTAATCACACACTTCCTTACTTTGGGGGTTAAAAAAAGAAAACAAGTATTACAGTGGTCAAGTCTGCTGAAGATAATTAAGTACATGGTGAAATATAAATTCTACATGGAAATTATTTTCATTGAAATACTGTAAAAATCTGTTCCTTGGAAATGCATAGGAGAATGTTTATCTTCAAAAAGCATACATGAAATAATACACATTAGCTAGAGAAAAGACTTTTCATATACAACTCCACGATGTTACACAATAACCATAGACCAGGTCCTCCCTGGAGATTTATTTCTGAATTGTACAAACATCACACCCACAGCTGAACCATGCACCTTCTCCAAAGAGGTGTTCTGTTGATTCCCAGCATCTTTTCTGCAGTTGAAAACCTGACAGTGTCCTGAAAAAGAATCTCAGTGTAGCTGTAGGTCTTCTTCCCAACACTCTGAGTTTCCCTTACAATGTATTGTAAATATTTTATTTTTAAAATCATGGTTTACAATTGGAATGGAAACGCCACATTATAGGCTTTTTAATTTGGGGAAGAAAGTGTACAAAAAAACCCAACAGGTAGATGCCGAGTCCAGTGAAATTCAGAATATTAAGGAAGCAGAGAATCTTAATTTTGAAAGTAATTAACCTTGGAACAGCTTTTCAGGGCTGTAATACATTATGCTTTACAGTAAACTTAAGTTCAAAGCTTGTCTGATTTTGTAAAAATAAATCCTAATTCAGAGTTTTGTGGGGTAAAATGTCTATGCTACTCTGTAAAGGCAAAAAAATCTATTTTTAGACTGTATTGTTAAGTTCAGTAGCTCTTCCTGATCCGTAAGTCCTCAAAATCAACTTGGAAAATTGTTGCAGTCTATTCTTGTTTCCCTCTGTAGTCTCTCCTTCCACCAGTCTACCTTAAAGATACACAAAACTGTTCTAAGTTCTCAGTTAAAAGCAAACTTAACTTTGTTTTCTGTTCACGACAACGGTGGTTTTAAAGTAAAAGGATGATAAACTGTAATTTTTTTCAGTCCTGTGTAAAATCACTGCATTTCTGTCAGCATACATACTTATTAAAAGTGAAAAAGCAAAAATAGTCCCAAGAAGAAAAGAGAATAACTAAAAAGTTTCTATAGAGGTGGGTTTTACCCTTGCTTTTATAAATCACCAGCTTCCTCTAGCAAAGTCTCATGCTTTTTGCTCTTTCTTTCCTAGATATATGTTCCACTTAGGATTGAAGTCTTCTTAGTTTCTCAGAAATAATAGCGTATCAGTTCCCAGGTGCGCATATGGTGATCTTAGAAAAAAAATCGTAGCACAATTATAGAATGACAGAATATCTCCAGTTGGAAGGGACCCATTAGGATCCTCAAGTCCAACTCCCTGCTCCTTGCAGGACTACCTAAAACTAAACCATATGACTAAGAGCATTGTCCCGATGCTCCTTCAACTCTGACAGGCTTGGCACCGTCACCACTTCCTTGGGGAGCCTGTTCCAGTGACCAGCCACCCTCTCAGTGAAGAGCCTTTTCCCATGTCCCTTTATGTCCAATCTGAACTTCCCCGACACAGTTTCATTCCGTTTCCTCACTGGTCACCAGTGAGAGGAGATCAGCACTGCCCCCTCAACTGCCCCACTCAAGAAAGTCACAGACTGCCATGAGGTCAACCCTCAGCCTTCTCCAAGCTGAACAAACCAAGTGACCTCACCTGCTCCTCACAAGTGTTGCCCTCAAGATCTCTCACCATCTTGGTCACCCTCCTCTGGACACACTGACAGTTTGATGTTTTTCTTACACTGAAGCACCCCAAACTACACACAGTACTTGAGGTGGGGCCACATCAGCATGGTACAGAGTGGGACAATGCCCTCCCTTGGCCGGCTAGCTATGCTGTGCTTGGTGCATCCCAGGACGCAGCTAGCCCTTTTGGCTGCCAGGGCACGCTGCTGCCTCACATTCAACTTGCCATCAATCCAAACCCCCAGATCTCTTTCCACAGGGCTGATCTCCAGCCTCTCATCCCCCAATCTGCACATATAACCAGCATTAGTATCCTGTCCTTATGCTCCTTTCTTCATCTCTTCTGACGTCCTTCCTCCTTAAAGCTGTAAGCTCTGGGCAGAAAGACAGGGCATGCAGGGAGGGCCAGCAAAGGATACCTGCAGGAGCCCAAAGACACATTGCTCTTGCACACGCTCTAACTTTCTATTTCTCTGGGTCCTATTTCACAACCACATCTTCTAATTTCAGGAGATGTAACAGATCACATTTCAAGGTCCATCAACACAACTCCAAATCATACCAATGGAAGTGCTTGCTAAGGCCACCAGGAACCTCCTCTGCACCTTTTGTGCCCTTAATTACTGACAAAGTCCCTGTGGCTGCCCCTTGCAATCAAGTGGAAAGTCAGGGTAAGCAGAGCAAAGGCTCCAGTTTCCAGGACTTCTACTCTTCCAGGACTGACCAGACAGCTGCTAGGATCATTGCTTCCTAAACTGGGACTAGGGGTTAGTTGCATCCTGTAACATACGTATCAATACTGATACAGATATAAAAATAACAGGAGCAAGGAGAAAAAAAAAAACAAAAAAACAAAACAACCACCACACCCAAAACAGTTTTACGCTCAGAACTTCATCTTAGAATCTTACAAATCTCAAAAGCCTGAAAAGGTGCAGCACCACTTTATGAAGTCAGCTAAAGAGAAACACAATGCTTGTGCTCCCCCTGGTGGCTCTGTCCTCAAAACACAGCGCAGCATCAATACCGATCTGAACAATGGTTTTTGAATAACCATAATAATACATAAAGAGCTTCATCTGTTTCAAACATGAAACTTTGCCTTCATACAGAAAGGAGACACTGCATTTAATCACAATCAGAGTGAGAAAGCATTTGTGAGAAGTGGAAAACAAAATCTGCGAGTTGCTTTGACCTAAATAAAAATAAGAGTTTCTGAAAACATCCTAAACAAAGTGTTGTGAAAGGTACATAGAAGATGATGACAAGACCTATACCTAAATGAATCAAAGTGGCAAATAAAGTTTACTCTGAATATATATTTAAATCCAAAAGGAGGCGCATTAGGCACAGTAATCTACATGCAAACCTCACCGCTACTTGTCTCACAGCTGTTCAGGAAAATTTGAATGAATGGATGGACTCAGCTCCCCCACAGGACCCTACTGTTGCTCCCTGATGCCACCAGTAGGTGCCAGCTGCCAAGAGCCTGGCTGGGAGTGCCCATGACCTGGCCTCAAGAGTGAGACAGTTTCTGTCACTTCAGCTTTGAGAGGACACCATCAGCCTCCACTCTCTACCTGGGTAATTTCTCGACATCGAATCTTCAAAAGCTTAGAAAAAGATGAGGGTCTCTGTAGTAATAAAGGTAATGTAAAGGGTGGCTACCTGGAACAATGTCAGGTTTTTAGAGAGACCCTTAAGGACTAATATTAGTTCAGCCATGTTAATTGGCTTCAATTTTTGTAAGTTGAAAAAAAAAATTAAAAATCACAATTAAGACCAAGATTGGATCTTGAGAACTTCTGAACTTGTCAGTCTTTCAAAAGAAAGAACAAAATTTGAAGAAACAACAAAATTTGAATGCAACTCTTTGTAAATTACTTACTTCAGGCTGGAGAAAAGAGGTATCTGCACATACAGCTAGATTATCTCTGCTCAGATCATGTTCTAGTCTAACCTTAAACTGCCTTTCAGGAAAACCTACGTATTGTAATCTGCTTGGGAATTTTTTGGCAAGCCAAGTTTACCTACACAGGTAAACCTGCACATTTAGATTTTAAATACTGCCTTCCTTCACAAGCTATCCTTTCCTGTTAGGCTAAGAGCTGGAAACAAAGATAGCGAATTATCATGTTGGAAAGGGCTATCTGTCTCTTAAAGACATATTTGATGTTTTCTATATGAAAATACTTCAAGTACGACACATAAAAACTACATATAATTTTATTTAAATAAACCAGATTAATTGACTATTAGTTGACTCTAATTAAAAAATATAGAGTAATATCAAACTGAATTCAGTTTTTAAGTCCTAGTCACAATGAATATTCATCCTTGCAGTATGCAAGTTCCTCTTTCAGTGAAAACATCAACGCAGCCTCTTTGTAAATCCATTCAGATCAAAATACATTCACATTCCTCCACTACACTGTGACCGAAGACTCTCTTAAGAGACACTGGAAATGTTATCTGATGTACCTCTTACTGTGTCCAGCTTCAGAAAAAGAGATGCTAGTCTCATGTAGACAGGCACACTGACTCAGAGTAAACTGTGAGCAGATGTCAGAAAAAAAGCCCATTGGCAGTCAGGTAATATTGAGAAACAAGCAGCAGCACCCCCAATCAAAGTTTAAAAACACCATCACTTGGTTAAGAGGACCTGTTCCCTTTTCTATTTTATTAAAAACTGACTGATGTTATTCGTTAGGTATAACACATGATGCCACATGATGGCACCAAACACCAAGCTTTAGCCTTACCTGCACAGGCTGTTCCGTTCTAAAATCTTCAAGCTGCTGCACATGCCATGCAGCTATGCCGTAGGGCTCCTCAGCAGTCCTGCAGTCCACAGGATTTGCACGTAACTGTTCTTTAAGCCACATTTGAGTCCTCACTGCTGGCTGTATGGGAGCTCCACTCACAGCCTGTTGTCCCAGAGTTGCATATCTCTGTCCGAAAGCTTCACAACTGGCTGCTGTAGGTTTGCTTTCAGGTAAGGCACTGTAGGTCAAGTCTAAGGCATGTCTCCTACTTGAGGGATCTGAAACAAAATCATCTTTGCTGCATGTTTCAAATTTGTATTTGCAGTCCTGTAGAGAAGATCGTCTTTTCCCCGTTTCTTTGTCCTCAATTTTTAGGAACTCCATGCTATCATGCAAACAACTTGGCCCATTTGTCCTTAATTGTGGTGATACAGCTTTGTCCATACTAGCCCTGGAGTCCACTGAATGACTAGTACCATCTTGACTGAAGGTATTTGGTGAGCTGAGTTTAGACAAGGAGGACCATTTTCTTACAGGTCGTGCATCTTTCATGTCAAGAGAATTGTCCAGGGCACCCGGATTTCTGCCTCCTCCTGACCTTACAAAGCTTGTACTCCATTTTGAGCCATCAGACTTGAAAGCTTCCCTGTGTTTGGACAGTGAAGAGCTGGCATTAGACGGCATCACATGGGCAGTGGGAACAGAAACCAGTGATGGGCTGGGCTTAAACGAGGATGTACCACTTGAAGTTGAATGATCTGAGAAGAGAGATTTATCATGTAAATAAGTACGATACAGAACTTATTAGTAACAGTGAAGGTGAAATACAAAAATAGAAGGAAACCAGTTTCTTGACAAAATACGGTCTTCTGAACTGTTCAAGACTATGAGAATTGAAACTTATTAAAGTGGGAGATTTTCAACTTTATTTTGTTCAGATGCCATCACTACAAAAAGAAATCTGTACCAGGTGGTGGCAACAGCAGCTTCAGACACAATTTTCAGGCTGTGGGCAGAAGGCAGCATTCATTCTCCAGCTTCAAGGTGGCAGGCTGTATTTCTCCCTCACCCCACATAATTTTAAGTAGCTTCTATATCACAAATGGTAGAGGTATCACAATTCAGAAGCCCCAGGACTGCGTCCTCTTCCACTACCCCTCTTCTAATTTTTTAAAGGCAAAACAATTCACTAAGTGCACTTCGTAAAATGTCAGTGCTGGAGATCTGCCAGTTTATTGATAGCCTCCTGGACAAAATTATTCATCCCTTTTGGATCTCACTGATTTCAAACTATGCTTCCTATGTTGGTTTTAGCTGGGATAGCGTTAATTTCCTTCATAGTAGCTAGTATGGAGCCATGTTTTGGATTTGTACTGGAAACAGTGTTGATAATACAAGGATTTTTTGTTATTGCTGAGCAGTGCTTACACAGAGTCAAGGCCTTTTCTGCTTCTCACACCACCCCAGCAGTGAGTAGGCTGGGGGTGCACAAAAAGTTGGGAGGGGACACAGCTGGGACAGCTGCCTCCCAACTGACTGAAGGGATATTCCACACCATGTCATCATACTCAGCAGTAAAACTAAAGGGGAGGTTGGCACGGGGGAACTGCTGCTCAGGGACTGGCTGGGCACCAGTCAGTTGGTGGTGAGCAATTGCTTTCATTTGCACCACTTCTCTTTCTTGGGTTTTGTTTACGTTCTTATCCTCTCCCTTGTATTTTTTCCAGTTATTAAACTGTTTTTATCTCAACCCATGAGTTTTCTCACTTTTAACACTTCCAGTCCTCTCCACCATCCCACGAGGGGCCAGGGGGAGTGAGTGAACAGCCCTATAGTGCTCATGCTGGCTAGGGTTGAACCACAACACTTCCCCAGGTGATTTGCTAAAAACCAAGATTCTGAAAAATTTTATGTTCCATTTAGGTTTTGTGTTATTTACAGACCCAAATACAATGCCATGCAGAAACTGTGTGTAACATAATTTATTAAATCTATCCCAAGCTGAAATATCAAGAATAGAAATAAGTGAGTTGATATTCAGCAGGGGATGGAAGAACAAAGATGAGAGAGGTATGGGAGAGGTTACTGGGGACTGGCCGAGAGCTCTCACACACCCAGCAACATGTGCTTAGCATCACAGGCTGTGGACTACCAGAAATAAAACACCTAATCCTCTTATTAGAGGATCAGCTCCCACCAAGTCACATGGCTGCATCTTAGTAGGCTCGTATTGCTCGTTAAGTTAATGGCAGATAAAGAGAATGAAATTGCTCTAATTAAACTATTCTTTTGGGGTAATTTTTGCCAGGAACAAGACAGATACATGCTCCTTATTTCTCTCATCCTAACCTAGAGATCACTTATTTTTTTGTGATTTGTCAGATGGTACAAGAGCTCATAGTGGGACAATTAAAAAGAAAAAAAACAAATCAATCAGTTGCTCTAGAATACAACTGACATACCCAGTCTGATGGCTATACTAGCTTAACGCAATTTGTTGAAGGCCAGAACACATTATTAATTGGGCACACTTTCAGAGGAGATATTTGACTCAATATACTATGGCAGCCACAGTCAGGAAAAAGAAGAGAACTTCCAATGGTGCAACAACTTTTAAAAATGGCAGCACCACTTCTTTTTCTACATATCCAAATAAAGATATCCTTACCCCCAACCTGCATACTCCCCCCTACTTGTGACCAGACTTCCTGACTCCTTGCACTTGCAGCACAACACAAAATAATATAGCCCTACAGCCATGCTCCTCATGAGAAAAATGCATCGTAGCCCACAAAATAATCAACAGCTCCTTGACTGATACCTGTTTATTACATACTTGTCTTCCTGCTCCTAAAGAAGCCAGGGCTCCTGAGAAGGTAGAAATTCTTTCTGAAGTCTTCCTGCCTCCTAATGAGTCACTGCCCCACCACATACCCTCCCGTTTCAAAGCATAATCTCACACCACATTCTCTTGCCTCTACTCAGCCACCTACTTTCAGAGTAGTTACTGCACACAGCTATCTTTAAGACTTGACAAAACTGTCAGAGCTGGTTGAAATGGACCAACAGTTTAAGAGTTATTCATAAGATGCTGATGACAGCCATAAAATACACACAGGATGTTCACATTAGAGAAAGTGAAATGGAGAGAAGAATACTACCAGCTTGTTACCTGATGGATTGTATTGCTAGTAAATGTGAGGTACCATATTTTACATGGAAGAGGAAATATCACCGCTCCTCCCTGCACTTCTTCCTTAAAAATTCCATACTGCAGAGAAAACATTTTCTTTGGCTTTTTTCTGTCTTGACATTGCTCAAGACATGGGACATGTTAAAGAGGAAGACAGAAGGCCACACAACCCATTTCAAGTGGAAGGAATCATGGCCTTCTGATCAAACACATTTGTGCCCACAGCTACTGCAGCAGTGGAGACAGTGATATGCAACACTACAAGTTCTCAAAATTGTGATATGCCCACCACATGTAACCAATCTGCCTGTGCCAGGTACAGCATCAGCTTCTCTCAGCTCTGTCTTCCCATCTTTCCCCATAGCACAGTAGACACTTGCATAGATAACCACTACAAATCAGGTACGTCTTGCTATTCCACATAGCAGCACAAACTCAATTCTGTGAAGGAAGCAGTCATAGGCTTTTTATATACCAAGAAAATAAAGAGTATATTAGGATTCAGAAAGAACTGACTGTGACGACCTATGTTTTTGGCTATGCAGATTTCTATGAGTAGAAATGTCACATCTGCAAAAGAAAGGTTAAAGAAACCCTATCTGTATGCACATATCTGTAAAAGTTAAATACAGTTCCATACCAAAAAAGTTATAGTAGTATTTAGTATAGCATTTTCAGTCTGAAATTCTGACCTAGTGTCATCTACACACAGTCTTCAAACTAGAATTAAAACCAATAATAATTAGAAGTATATGATCTCCTTCAGCTGTTTTTATTAGAGTACAGAGTTATTCATATATAGTAAATTTTTATTTTTCCTTGTTCTACTCTGAATTTAAACCCTGAGTTAAACTTTTTTGCACTTCTGATTCTAAACTCTCAAAGAATATTTAAAAACTTGGAATGCCATGTACATCCAACTACAGCTAATGGATGTCTTTGGTAATTTGTCTCAAAGTGAAACACATCAATTTTAGCTTCAAGTTGTCTTAATTATTTTTCCCATTAATGCTCACTGAAACATAACAAAATTCACACTTCTTAGACCGTCTTGCTCCAATCTGCCTTGACTGCATGCTCAGCTGGAAAGAGAGACAGTCTGCATTCTGGCTCACACAAAAAGCATGAAATTCAGAAATTTCATTGAAAATAAGAGAAATCCAGAAAGAACCATGGAACTTAAGACAATACTACTTCTGTAGTCATGGAAATAACCTCCATCTGGCCAAATCCTACCAAAGACTAGTTTATCCAAGCAGCAGATTTTCCTCTTCCATACAGTCACCAGTAAGCAAACACCTAGTTCAGAATTAAAAGTGCTCTCTTCTCAGCCTAGTTCAGTTTTCAATTCACCAAGCTAGTATTTATTTGAAGATTGATTACAAACTCTTAAACATGGCTTGTGTGACAGGAGGGGATTCTCGGCCTCTACTCTGCTCTCGTAAGACCCCACCTGGAGTACTGTGTTCAGATGTGGGGCCCCCAACATAAAGAAGACCTGGACCTGTTGGAGAGAGTCCAGAGGAGAGCCATGAAATTGGTCAGAGGGCTGGAGCACCTCCCATAAGGGGACAGGCTGAGAGAGTTGGGGTTGTTCAGCCTGGAGAAGAGAAGGCTCCGAGGAGACTTAACAGCAGCCTTCCAGTACCTGAAGGGGGCTACAGGAGAGATGGGGAGGCACTCTTTATCAGGGAGTGTAGTGAGAGGACAAGGGGTAACGGGTATAAGCTGAAAAATGGTAGATTTAGACTGGACATTAGGAAGAAATTTTTCACTGTGAGGGTGATGAGGCACTGGAACAGGTTGCCCAGAGAAGCTGTGGATGCCCCATCCCTGGAGGTGTTCAAGGCCAGGCTGGATGAGGCTTTGAGCAACCTGGGCTAGTGGAGGGTGTCCCTGCCCATGGCAGGGGGGTTGGAACTTGATGATCTTTAAGGTCCTTTCGAACCCAAACCACCTATGATTCTGTGAGTCACCAGCATCCTTCACTGCTCTCAGTAATGAAAACTTAAAGAGATGGGGGGAGGGGGGGACGGGACGACACAGACATACATGCGTACATATATATACAGCTAGTTGCTACTGGTTTTCCTTTGAACAGTATCAAGATTATATGTCAGGTTTCGTGTTTCAGTTAGCCTAATAACTTTTTTTGGGGGGCCACCACAAAGGTCTGTAGAGTACCTAATAGACATGATATTTTAATACTTCATCCAATACTGCCCAAACCACATAAAAAAGAACTGAAAAAATTATATTTTACAAAAACATGCTACAAGACTTCTACCGCGTAACAGCAGCAGATGGAATAAAAAATGAAGAGCATTTCATATGGATTTCTTACTATCTTGTGTTACATTCCTGAACTATTTCATTACTGTATAACTGGCATAGAAAATAATGTAACAGAATCAATTTTGGTCTTAACTAAAAACCTAATCATAGGAGAGAGCACAGCAGACACTTCCTTCCAAAGAAGAGGAGAAGAAATAAATCCTCCAATATAAAGTTAATTAATGCCTCCTACTCATTTACATGTTCTTGTGATATGCTTTTTAAATCACT